AAGGAAGAAGTACGTCGGTGGAGCAACATGGGCCCACGAGGATGGAAGGCATGCCTGGGGGGTAGGCGCGCCCCCTACCTCGTGCGTTCCTGGTTGATGTCTTGATGTAGGGTCCAAGTCCTCTGGATCATGTCTATTCCGAAAATCATGTTCCCGAAGGTTTCATTTCGTTTGGACTCCGTTTGATATTCTTTTTCTGCGAAACCCTAAAATAGGAAAAAAAAGCAATTCTGGCTGGGCCTCCGGTTAATAGGTTAGTCCTAAAAATAATATAAAAGTGTATAATAAAGCCCAATAATGTCCAAAACATGATATAATATAGCATGGAACAATCGAAAATTATAGATACGTTGGAGACGTATCACACCACTCCATCTTCAGTGTTGTACTGCTGCATCAACCTTGCCCGGTCTAGCTGCCATCGACGCCAGACAGCGCCACCTCCCTGCGCGTCGAGTCTCCACGGCGCCATGCCGCCGAGATCTGCCGCCATTAATGCGTAAGCTGAAGCACCGCTCCACCAAAAAGCCTTTCACGGGTCCCTCGGTCCGTGTACACCTCCACGAATGACGCCCCCAAGAGGGAAACGACACCATAGTGCCGCCGTCATCTGATCTACTGATCTAGGGTTCCCCCGGAGGTAGCATAGAGTGGCCTTGAACTTCTCCACAGTGATGCCTTCAAGAAGGGAATGATGCAGACAGCGCCGCCACCGCCGGCCTTGGCAGCTAGCCGAGAGCAGGTTTTCACCCAGATCTGTTCGAAGATCCTCCCTCAAGCATCTCGTGCATAGACTGCCGCCCTCTCTGCCGGGGACTGGACGAAAGGGATCCAGGCCGCCGCCGCCGCCTGACCGGCCATGGCACCACCATGGTGCCTACAGCTGGCGCCGTCAGGCCCACCACGCTCGCCTGTAGATGCACATCGGAACCGCCGCCCTGTCCAAGCCCATCTGGGAAAGACCAGATCGGCGATCTCGACCGCCGCCATAGGGGCGACTCCACCGCGGGGAGGTTGCGCCTCCGATGACGCCACCGTCACGCATGCCGTAGGGATCCCGCCGCTCCTTGCCGTCGAATCTCCGTCAAGCGATGCGCCGCCGCTGCCCGAAAAAAACACCACCACCGCCGAGGGATAAGGCCCCACCGCCGCCATCATAGGCCAGGCTTCACCGGTGAGACCTCAGGCGGCGGCATGACGGAGGAGGCGAGGGGAGGGGGCCTAGGGCCGGCAGCGTGGTCGCCCCCCGTGTCGCCTAGGGTTGGCGACGCGGAGGTGGGTGCGGGGGTCTCGCCTACTACAACCCGGACCTTGACATAGAGGGGGTACATGTCACAAATCTCATATCCCGAATCATATAGATTTGCAACGACACAATGCCAATAGAAGACATGATCTCATCATGCCAACCTAGCATGATGAATTCAAGAACCATTCGTATTGCAGTAATTTAAGAAGACTGTTGTGCCAAACCAAATTTTGAGACCTAGCATGGTGAACCCTCTTCTCTAACATGGCCTGGAGTTCAGCGGTTCGACATTGAAATGATCCCATCTTCCAGCTAAGCAAAAAATGGACATGGCTTTTGTCCTGGGGCGACGTGTAAGTGAGTTGATCGTGTTTCCTTCCAGTCCCATTGGCCAGCACAAGCACAAGACAAACCTCAAAATGTGCTTCGTTAAATTCTATACCACGAGGTACTGTAGACCTACATGTACCCATCATAGGACTATTGATTCATAAAACTCCCTTTTCCAGCCCACTTTATCTACCTCTCGGTGTGTACTACTACTACTACTACTACTACTACTTTAGCTGCTACCGAGCTGGCTCTGTTATTGTTGTTGGAATATTGGGCTCTGCCCTAGTTGTTCTACAACAAATGGGAGATAGATGAGTGGAGGGACGAAAATTAGTACCACGTCGCTTGGTGAACGAGGACTGGAGCAACATATAAGGGGGACCCCTTGCATACCAATGTAAATGCTAGAACCACAAGAATAGTGCTACATACCATGCATAGCGCGTGCACTCGTGTGAATATTTCATGACTTAGACGTAGGATTTTGGACGACTGGTGACGCCCGCGTGCCCTAGATAATCAGAAAAAAGAATTCCCCTTTTGTGCTTCTTTTCCCAGTTTAAAGCCAAACTCGATTAGTGCGTCTCTAACAAGCTAGCCGCAGCTGCACCCAGTTACGCGGTCTAGAGACTTGTGGGGCACACCTTTGTATGGACGGGCCAGAATAATGAGATCTTGTTGCGACTGCAACAAGGCTTGTTGCAGAAGAAATTCAAATTAGAAGATAATTTGGTGGATAATATTTTTATACCTTTCGAATGAAATAAAACGGCTAACAAAAAAACTTTGATAACACCCACACCATAGAAAGTAGTAAGAAAGGGTGCCATTGAACTGCACATGCAAGTTGGTGAACTCACAAGGGACTGAAACCGCCATTTGTTTCACTTCAATTTATTTTTATTTTATTTTCACGACAAATGTAGTCTCTCCTGAAATTGGATGACCTAATTTTTATCAATCTGCGATAAATGTAGGATGAATGTATTCTCCCCTCAAGCAATCTTGCAATAAGATACAAGTAGTCTCTTGTGTCCTGAACACACCTAATACTGTTGTCGAGTGTATAGGTTCACTAGTTCCGCGAAGAGATTGATAAATTGAATGATAGATAGATAATTTGGATGGTGGAAATATTTTTTTTTATTTTTTGAATAAATAAAAATAACAAGGTAACAATATTTAAACGTGACTGAAACAAGGTTTGTAATTATTGGAAACAAAGCCTAGGGTGCGTAGGTTCACTAGTGTCAACGCTCAACATTATAATTTCATTAAAATACATGATATAAGCTCACAACTTTCCTTTTTTATTGGATCAACTACGGATGAGATCTCATAAGTGCACTGCGAATCACCTCAAAAGTTGTCATTCTAATGTTAATCTGTTGAACCACCTCATTGTCTACCTCAGGCAAACACATAATTATACTACGACAATACAAAATGATCCTTATCATTCTAATCCTAACCTATCGAGTCACCCCAATGTCACATCGAGTGTCTCCAGAAATTATACTAGATAAGCATCATGTAATATCATTAACTAACAAAGTTCAAGAATACAAAATGAACAGTATTCGAACCATTAAGTTTCTCATCATGAGAGGTACGTCATACAGTTCAACTAATCATAAATGCCCAAGATCATAATCATGATGGCAATTCGTAAGGTTGGGAAAGAGAGATACATGACATATAGCTACTACCACAAATCCTCAGCTCGATAGCCCACTTGGTATGTGATGTGGAAGGTGAGGAGCTTGATAGCCCACTTGGTGAACCGTCATGTGGTGTCCTTGTTGCGTTAGATGACTGATATAGGGGAGGTGCTGACCACATTTGTGGGGTGAGCCTGGAAGTAGTGAACGAGCTTCCGTAATGCCATGATGATACTTGAGAAGCACTACCAAATCAAAGTCAACATGTGTTGTAGCCATCACTTTTCGTGATCTCAGCAGTGATGTGCATAGCATGGTCTTGACGTGAGATGCCACGCAAGCAAAGACAATGCTCGCACAAGCAGCTAGTCTAGTCGCGACAAGAGCCGGCCACCATCACACTTGTTGACGAAGGTTCAGGGAGAAAGGTCGCCGGCACCGCCAAAATCCCAAATCGGGGTGCTCCGATAACCCGCACTGCCTCATGCTCCTCGTTCTCATTTGTGGTGGCAGAAACAGTCAGAAAACACATACTCGCTATTGTCTTTGTATCTAAAGTTCCAAGATCCTCGTCTTGTCTAGGCAATCACCTAGCAGCAGAGGACCACACCTTCACCTTTGCGCCCGAGCGGACATATTAGGACACAAGATGTCGACATTGTTGCCCATGTAGTTGTAGATGAGATCTTTGCAAGGTGTTGACGGGGAGAGACCGGAGATCGCACACTCCCACCTTATATTCAGCGCTCGATCCATGCCTGACAACCTTTGTGGTGACATTTGCCATCTTGGCACTAACATGTGGGCACGATTTACATGTCTATGTTGACGTGATTCTGTAAATAATTGTTTACCTAATAAAATCCTGCATGTGATTTATCTGCCTAAATAAATGCTAGAATTTTAATTATAGTAAACATGGTAAGCATTTATAATTTTTCTTTCGATAAATGAATTAAAGCTGAGACAGAGATAGTTGGACGAGACTTGCCTGCTCCCCATGCGTGTGTCCATCCGTGCTCCCGCGTACGTGGCTTGATTTGATTGGAGCAAAATAAGGCCCGGCCCCACCCCCTTAAAATCAGGGGGGAGATGATTAGATTAGAAAGGAAAAAGAAAAAAAAAGTCAGCCATAGGATGAAGTGAGAGCACGGATGGGAGCATGAGGAGGGAGCAGGCAAGCTGAATCCTAAGGTGGGTTTCAAAGAAAATGGAAAATCCTGCCCTTTTTTGCCGCAAAATTTCTCTTCTCCCCAGAATTTGCTGCCCGTTTCTGAAGAAACCGACAGCCCCATACAACTAAATTGCTATCTAAAACGTTCGCAAATGTCAACCCCTCCCTGCGAACATTGTCGATATACTGCGGTCCTAAAAATAAAGATAATGATGAAGATTTGCGGCATAGTGGTTACTTCACATTTCATGGTTCCGTGGAATTCGCACTCAACCCAAACTAACATGTTCGTTGCGTCACGTTTCGTGTTTCGCTCACACGGTAGCATTACGGCGCGGGCGTGACCAGTTTACGTGTCGTACGCGTTGCCAAGCAGCGCATTTGATCACCGCACGCTGGCGAATCCTCACTCCTCCGGTCTTCGCAAACTCCAGGTCCCCACCGCGTCAACCGAACGCGCCTCGCCCGCTATATAGCGACCCGGGTTGACACAAAGCCAACCCCCTCCCGTGCTAGTAGGCAACCAGCAACCAAACTACTCCCGCAGATCAATCCTTGGGCGAGAAGAAAGGAAGAAACATCAATGGCGGCCGCTGGTTCCTCCGCCGCGTGGAAGAGATGGCTCCGCCCTGAGGTACGTCGATTCAACCCCCGCTCCTCCCACTCGTTTCTCCTCGGCTCGTAGATCGGAAAATTCCGTGATGAAACGAACTAGCCATGCGTTTTTCTCTTCGTGTTCCGTGATCTCGCTGGGTTTTCGGCGGACGATTTGATCTGTGTTTTCTCGCGATGAATCACGCGCTGCTGGTACGGTGCAGGTGTACCCGATCTTCGCGGCGACCGGCGTGGCCGTCTCCATCTGCGCCATGCAGCTCATCCGCAACATCACCACCAACCCGGAAGTCAGGTACCGAACCCCACCCCAACACGCGCCCCGTCTCGTCGGCGGAGACCCCGATCTGACTTCAACCTTGACGAAACCGTTTCCCAAATCTTGTTCGTTGTCGATCTGTGCAGGGTGACCAAGGAGAACAGGGCGGCGGGGATCCAGGAGAACTTCGACGAGGGGAAGCGCTACTCGCAGCACGGCTTCAGGAAGTTCATCGACCGCCAGCGCCCCGAGATCATGCCGGCCATCAACAACTTCTTCTCCGACCCTCCCAAGTATTAGTTCAGTTCAGTTCAGGCAGGCCGCGCAATACCGCTCTGATGCACTGTTCGTTTCTTCCGAAGATTGCGCCCGGATTTTAGATGCTACCCATGTTGTTAGTCATAATTCGAATCATTTACATGCATGGCCATGGATTGATTGCCTGCCCGGTACGCTTAAGAATCATATAATTCGATTCATTGCCAGGCAATGTTAATATTTGATCATGTTTACGAGTATTACTTTTGTGATTTTAGATCTCTGATTTTGGTTTTCTTTTAGGCAAGCGTCAATTAGCGGCCGTGTATTGTTTCTGTTTAATGCCCTCCAGTTGCTTTACGGTAACACCTCTAGGTCACATGCACTATTTTTTTTTAGAAACAGACCGCATGCACATAAGCAGAACCCAGCCGGAAAAACCTGGATGTTGGGAGGGTGGCATCTAAGGCTTTGTACAATCAAAAATGCGACCTACATAATGTTGCTACGTAACCTGCGTAAACTTCCTTTCCCTTCAACAAAACATCCCCCCTGATTTTCAGGTGGGCCCCAGCCCTCTCTAATGCCCAATTAAAGCCTGCTAAATCATCTCATACGTAGGTCACGTAACAACTATTTCGTAGATGTAGCATTGCTCTTGTACAATCCAAGGTGCTCAGGGAAGATGGTTATAGAAATAACCGAGTGCGGATAGACTGAGTATCCAAGCACCTTGGGTTAATCACTTGCTTTTTGCCGACGGCCGTCTCATCTTCTTAAATCCACAAGCCCAGAGTGCGGATAGACTGAACTATATTCTCCGGATTTACGTTGATTGTTCTGGACAAGCAGTGAACAGGGAGAAAAGCTCTATATATTTTAATGCCAATACACAGCAACCCACACGGGAGGCGCTCAAGCAATCACTCGAAATACATGTTGAAGCCTTTCCGGAGCGCTACTTGGGATTACCTACAGCTATTGGTAAGATAACTAGTGGGATGTTTGACCACATTATGGATCGATGTCGAAGTAAAATGCACGGCTACTCTGAATGGAATATGGCTTGTGCGGCACGAGAGGTATTGCTCAAAATAGTGGTCCAGGCCATTCCTACTTTCAGTATGAGCTATTTCTGCTTACCAAAAAGGTGTGCAAGAGCATTATGTCATGTATGGCCAAATATTGGTGAGGAAGCTCTATAGACAAACGTACACTCCACTGGCTTTCTTGGGATAAACTGGCGACACCCAAAGTGAAGGGCGGCATGGGGTTCCGTGACATGCATGTGTTCAACCTCGCAATGCTCGGGAAAAATGGCTGGCGTCTTCTCACAAAACTGGAGTCTTTATGCGCGCGAGTGCTGAAGGGCAAATATTATCCACATACTGACTTTCTCAATGCGAGTGCTCCTTCTCGAGCCTCGGCTACGTGGAAGGCTATTATTGCGGGAAGAAAGGCTCTAGATGTTGGGCTAATCAAAAGAGTTGGAGACGATTCTACTATCTGCACTTGGATAGATCCCTGGATCCTTGGCAATCTTTCTCTAAAACCGATGAGTCGCATTGGCTCTTCCCCACTGGCCACGGTCTCAGAGTTGATAGATGACTATACAGGCAACTGGAATGTGGAAATCATTCAAGCAAATTTCTTGCCACAGGATGTTGAAGCTATCCTCAATATACCCCTAAATAGCGACGGTGGCGAAGATTTTCTGGCATGGGCCTTAGAGAAATCCGTTAACTACTCTGTAAAATCCGTGTATCGCTCTCTTGTGACTCAGAACGAGCACCACGCTCTAGAGGAAGGGACGATTACAGAAGCTTCATCAACTAACAAACAAATGTGGAATGCCCTATGAAAATTACATGTGGTTCCCAAAGTCCATGTATTCTGGTGGAGAGTACTCCGGGGAATCCTACCAGATTCGGTTAGTTTGAAATATCAACACACTAAACCCTTGGGCCGGTGTGATATTTGCAAAGCTACGGATGAAAACTTGCTTCATGCACTAGCTCATTGCTCGCATGCAAGGCAGTTCTGGATAGCAGCGGCAGATAGATTCCAGCTTCGTCTACCTCGACTGCATTCGGATACTTGGGCGCAGGATATTCTTATGGACTCCCAGTTCGTACAAGAAGATCGCTGCAGAATCATTATGATCATGACAACATATGGTCATCACACAACTGTTGGACTCGTGATCGCGATGGCTACGATCCAGTTCGGGCCCTAAAGTGGATTCATGAAACCTTGGCTATCCTAGATCTTCCGTCGTCGCACAAGGAGAGCTCGGCGGCTCAGTGTTAGCGCCCACCTGAGGCAGGCTGGGTTACCATAAACACGGATGTTGCTGTCAGTATTGAAGACATGAAATTTGGAGCGGGAGGGGTGGCTCTTTCGCACCTTTACTTTCTTGGAACTTGGAGTAAACCTCTATTGGGTGTCACTGACCCGTTCATTGCTGAACTCTTAGCTTTCCGGGAGGGGATGATCTTTGCTCAACTTCGTGGCTTCTCACATGTGGTAATGGAGATTGACTGCTTGGAGCTAGTCAACATCTGGAAATCGCGCGACAATTCTCGTTCAATTGTTGCACCTATCTTCGAGGAATTAGAGGATATTAGTGCTAGTTTTGCTTCTTTGATGGTTACTCATGTTGGTAGATCTTGCAATGTACCAGCCCATCAGTGTGCTCGCCTTGCTTGCTCACTGGATGGCACTGAAAGCTGGCTTGGTTCCAGCCTTGAGTTCCTACGGTCTTGCCTAAAGACAGATTGTAACCTCATCATGCTACTTGATTAATAAAGCTCCTAAATTCGTTACAAAAAAAGAGAAATAACTGAGTTTTGTTTTCTTTTTATGGAAATTCTATCTGGCCGACCCTCGTCGAGAGAACACGCCACCACCCAAAAAATATGGCAAGCATCTCCCACGTTACTCGTAAAGGGCCACGTTCAATTGTTCCTTCCAAAGGATGTGGTACGATTCAAATTCTTGATTTGGGGTATTTCAGTGGCCAGTGTCAATGTTAGTAATCTCACAAAGTGTGTCCCATGTGCCCAAAATAGCGGCCCCGAACTAATTACTAGATCTGATAGTCTTAGGATAGTCAAGATGGTAACTGAAGAAGATGTTTGTCGGAAGATACTTACATCACAAATTATTTATCTTGAGATCTCAACCTTTCTTTTGTGTAAGCATGTGGTACACTATAGTAGAGGACTATACACCAAGGGCGTGGATAGCCCGGATTGACAAGAGTTTCTAAGGACTCTCCGGGCTCGGGACAAGTCGTTCGAAGGCAGGCACTTGGAGGAGATAAGAGTGGACATGTCAAATCCAAGAACTTATTGTTGCGAGCGCTATATTCCTCATACTCGTCAGAGATTGGATCATATAATATCATACCGAAGACATAGAAGTTCTTGCCAAAGAAGGTCAACCTATATATAAGCCCTGCATACCCTCACCAAAGATTCAAACCATTACGAAGCTATTATCGCAAGACCTCCAATCCGTAATCTACACCCCCCTTATTTATCAATCTATACATAATAATAAAGTAATTAGTACGTCTGACCGTCCGTTTTAAAATTACCCCTAAAGTTAGCACAAATTACCCATCATACCATCCATAAGTGAGAAAACACAAACCATTTTTTTCCTATGAAGGCGCTTTTCATTGATTCATTTAGTCGCAATCCCGTTGGAAATCGCAAGTTGGCTAGTAGGGCACTAGCTAGAGCTTCCCTCTTCCATCAGAGAGAACTAGGTTCGATCCCACCTAGCTCCTACATGATTTCCAAAAAAATCAAAGTTTCATTTTTGTAAATTTATGAAAACCAAAAATCATAAAATGTTTGTGGATTAAAAAAATATTCATGATTCTGAAGAACTATTTGCGTATTCAAGAAATGTTTGTGAATTTGAACCAAATGTTTGTGCATTCAAATTTTTCATGATTTTTTTCTAAAAATGTTCAAAAAAACCCAAAAATGATTATGAATTACAAGAGAAGTTCATTGATTCAAAAAATGTTCATGAATTCGGAAAAATGTTCATGCATCCAAAAAATGTTCTCTGATTCCAAAAATGTTCATCGATTCAAAAAATGGCTCGTTCATAATTTTTTTATCAATTCAAAAATGTTTGCCGACTCAACATATTTTCGTCGATTCAAAAAAAGTTCGCCGGTTCAAAAATTGTTCATGAATTTGTAACTCCAACTTGAAAATTGTTCACGAATTTATAGAAAATGTTTGTGAATTTTAAAAATGTATTTTGCTATTTTCATCCTAATGTATTATTTGTTGGGCATCACTGAGGAGTACGACAAAAAGGCGTAAACAGGTAGCAACAACTAGACATATATCTCTTTTGTCTAATAAAAATACACTTCAAAAAAAACATCTCATACTTATTTTGTTGTGCAACACCATTTATCGTATTGTTTGTCATGTAGTACCGTGAAAGATTTAAAGGATTTGCTAATGGCGTCGGGTGTGTGCATGAGGGATGATTTTTTTCTCTCTCCTTGCAACGCAAACATGTTTACTAATATACTTTTATAACCAACACGTAGGACTATTACCATGGAAATGACTAAAACGGGGTAAACCAACGTGTCTCTGACGTCTTCGATGATATCTCTAAATTATATCCATCTGTACCAAAATATAAGATGCCTCTTGACACTTTTGACGTCTTTCGATATTTGGAGGGAGTATCTTTTTTCTTCGCAAGTCCGATTTTCTTTTGAGTTTCAAGAATTGACCAAAATAATGCTATGTTTTGTAATTAAGCACCATGAGGTCTTTTTTTTGTAAACTACTCTCAGTGGAACATGATAATCCCTCCGTTCATTTTCATTATAATATTTGGATATTTTAATACATACTACATATAGTCTGAAATGAGTGGAGAGACCGGAAATCAAATTTGGTTCCCGGATGCACGTGCTCCTGCACACTAAAATTATTTTTGAAACATCAAAAAAATCCAACAAAAAATCTATGTGTTCATAGTCGCATCTAAATGTTCATTTTGACATGTGCAAAAAGAAAAAAAATTGAACACTAAATGTTACCCCGCATGTCACCCTAAATATATTTTTTTCACCGACAAAACACTACTGCTCTATATCGCATGAAATTGTCAAAGATGTTTGCGACACTAACATAAGCATAAAAAAATCATATTTTTTTTAAAAAAACATTTACTATATATTTTTGGTTACTGTTCTCGCGGGAGCAAGATGCTCCCGGGAGTAAAAACGCCTCCCAAAAGAGATACACTCAAACGTGTCTACACACATTTGATTTAGAAAAAAAATAAAATATATTATGAAGAGTGCGAGTATATCTTTTGTGCGGCAGCGCGGGTCCATGAGCAGAGCCCAGGTGAACCACCACCGCACATCCAGCGGCTACTATAATAAACCAGTTGCGCTGGTGACACCGACAGCACATGCGTTGGCATATTCCTTGCAATACGAAAATCAGCGGCATTTCCTATTTTAAGACCTCTGTTCTTTCCCTTGCGCACCAACAGTCCCTCCGGCGACGGCGGCGAGGCGGGCGAATTGGCATCCTTCCTCCTCGACTCGACGCGCGCGTAATCCGAGGTGAGTTCTTCATCCGGCTCCGCTTTCGCTTCGCCATTTGGCCAGCCGGGTTTGGTTTCCGGCCGGCCCCAAGTAAGTAAATCTTGTAGTAGTTGCTTGGTTGGCCGATGGGAATGTTGATAGATGTTTGGCGGATCAATCTGGCCCAGGAGTTCGGTGGATTTCTGGGTCGAGAACGGACGAGGGGGTCATCCGAAATCCCGCTTGGGCAGATCCGTTGAGTTTCCAGGATTTTCCTCTGAAATCCGCCGGAATTTGTCTGCCCGAGACTGAATTTCGGGTGATTCTCTTGTTCGGTTTTCAAGGCGGGAGTTCTTTTCCTAGTGTTTTTGGGTGGGCTGCGAGCTGATGGTCGATCCCAGCAGATAAGATTTAGGCAGGAATGGAAATGCGACACAACATTTTTATTGAAAGGTTCCCAGGTATTTTTGGGGAATGGGTGGGAGTAGGAGGAGGATAAATGTAAGGATTTTTTATTAATTTGTCTGATAAAAGAAAGATGAGAAATGAGCTCTTAATTCGTGGTTTGCTAGATGGGTGACAGAACAACTAATGGTTCTGAGCATATGAACGCCCTTTTGATCTCATCACTGATTTTATTTGCTGAACTGGTTTTCGTTTTGGACAGTCTTCACAGATCACCTTCAAGAGGACAAGATGTTGTGGCGCACAATTCGCAGTATGGAGGTGATGGCGCATTCTTCGAATTTCCTTCTTCCGAAACTGCATCAGCCTGCCAAGGCTCCAGCAAACAACTATACTCTGGTTGTTCTTAACCAGCAGCTTCCACGGTTCATGCCTCGCCTCTGGGCTCAAGGTAACTAGCTCTACCTTATTTCTTCTTTGTATATTTTGCTCATGGCATGTATCTTTGAAATTGTTCCTTCGAATTTAATTTAGAGCAGCAAAGATGAGAATATGTGCTGATGGTGGAGCCAATCGTATTTTTGACGAGATGTCTCAAATGACAAATGACCTGGACAGAAATAGGTTAACTACTTCCTTTCCTCCTTTTATATCAAAGGTTTAACTAATTTGAAACATTTTCATGCAATTCCAGTCATGGTTTGAATTATTTGTTGATAGATGTGAATCACAAATGTTGAGGAGTTGAATGATTGCCAACACCTACAGTAGCTGCATTTCTATATATTTTATTTCTCACTTGAAATGAGAGGTACATGGTACTTTCAAACTGGAGGCAGAGTTTGTAATAGGTCTGTAGCAGCCAGTTGTAGTTCTTTGGGTTTGGATTGTGAGTGTGGCACCATTTTCTCTCCCGTGATCTGTACAGTGTTACTAAACTTGCCATAACATAAGCTACATGGCCATTTATGCTATGCAACTTCATCTTTGGAACAAATGGATACCTCTTTATGTGCTTTTGAAGTTTTGATTATCCAAAATTTTGAATAACATAGTCTAATATGTTGCTATTTTAGCCTACCCCAACTTGTTTGGGACTAAAGGCTTTGTTGTTGTTGTAGTCTAATACGTTGCTATTTCATTCACTCACTGACAATGCTGATGGTTTCTTACCCAATAGGAAATAGGGTGGGCTTCTTGATTTAGTCCACCATGAACTTGAGCAAAGAAATCATTTTGTATTAGAAGAAGGCACCGAAGCAACACAAAACATACAACTCAACAAAGCAGAAATCAAAACAAAACAAAAACTAAGAGCTAAAAATGGCAAAAATAAAGAACAGAAAAACACATCAACAGTGCAAAGCTATACAAGGTACAAGCCAGCTGCTGTCTAAGCAGAGGTCTGGTATGATGTCAAGCTATATCCATATGTTAGCATCTCTATTTGTTTTGCTGTACCTGACCAGACAAACAAATACTGTACATGCCTGTCAGCGTATGTTTTCCAAAGACCACTAAAACATATTTATGATCGTGGTTATAGTTCTATTTTGATGCCTATGAGACATAATTGTTTTTTACATCTCAATGGCATTTGGCATTTAAGACCAGAGTCAGTTTTATTGCACGAACTGCTTATATATATTTATGCTTCCTTTGGCCTTATGATCAGACCAGCAAGGTTTCTGCATCATGTCTCAATTGATTGCTATTATCCAGGTATATTCCAGAAATAATTGAAGGGGACATGGATTCTATAAGGCCAGAAGTGAAAAGATATTACTCTAGTCAGGTCTTTTGCTTGCTTCCTCTTCTCTAGTTCACATTATCTGGACATCCTAGTATTATTCAGATTAACATGCTGAAGTGTTGTTTCAAAATATCCTGATGCTGACCTATTGCTCATATAATACATAGTAGACACTCAGCCCATGTATAACTTATGAGATGTATGCTGGCTGTGCAAAAATTGGTAAAATTCATGGGATGATTCAAGCATGAAAAGCTCTGCTGAAGAATGCCAAAATGATGGGAAAATATTTACATGCATCTTTCCACTGCACCATTTGATGAGTTTAGGTTCAGGTTTTCAATGTTAACAACACAGTCACCAGTCAGCGGATCTCCAGAAGAAAGAAACGCTACCAGTTAAAACTCAAAAGCAGTAGTCAGAAGATTGCAACAGCAAAAGCGGGGTTTCTCCTAACAATAGCTAGAAAAAAAATTATTGCCATCAAAGAAAATAGTATTCTAATTTCCTTTAGACATTGACCAATTTCACATCTGGTAGTTAACTGTTTTTTAGCATGTAGGAGACAGCGTTTGTTATAAAAAGTAGACTTTGTTGGTATAAGTTTGGTCCCTTTTTTTAGCATACAGGAGACTGCAGTTTTATTGGTATATTGGACGATTATAGTTAGAAATGGTGTTGTCTTTGTGATCGTGAATAAAATTGCAACTATTTGATGTTGTGTGTAAAACTTGCTATAAAGGAAAAGATGCTGTAGGCTTATATATTCCATTTGATATGGAGATTATTTTTGGCTGTCCTCCAAAATTTCAAATTGGTAACTTGATAGTGTTTGAAATTTCAATTTGTTAAGGAAACTCAGTTGTCCAAGGACTTTTCTTACATTGTAGTTGTACACGACAAGTGCATGCAGGCAAGGCCCTTTCTAGGACTCTGCTGTCTCCATCCTTCAGAAATTTTGCAAAATTATTTTGATGACAGAGTAACTGGCTGAACCCTAAGTCGAAGATGGCAACACTGACACTGTTTGACATGGAATGATAAGCATCTGTGTCAGAATATTAACTACCACTATTTTGAATCTAACTTTTGAGATCAAGTGGAGTGCACATTTTTGTTGATCTGAATGTAACATAATGAATTTTGCACTGGTGAACTGATCGCATTACAAATGTGATCAGGATATCATTGGCTCATCGTTTTGTTAAACTGTTCTCTACACAGGGATCCAAAATTTCTGATAAATCACATAACCAAGAGACAACAGATCTGCACAAGTGTATTTCCAGTATCCGCCATCGCACACCTAATCATGAAAAGCCTAATGTAAGTAGTGGTTATACTTTCTTATTTGGTACTCTGTCATTGCTATCTTTTACCGTATAATATGTTTATCAATATCAAAACACAAAGTTATGTAATGTTCAGGTACATTTGGTTCTAATTCAACTATTTAACTTACTTTTTCTGGTTCTATGTAGCTTTGTGTTCTTGTTACTGGAGCACTTGGTGGAAGGTTTGATCATGAGGCTGCAAATATCAATGTTCTCTATGCGTTTTCGGACATGCGGATTGTCCTTCTGTCCGATGATTGCTTGATCCAACTTCTTCCCAAAACGCATCACCATGAGATCTATATTGAGTCGTCTGTAGAAGGACCACATTGTGGAATTTTTCCTATTGGAGCACCATCTACAAGCACTACAACCACTGGCCTCAAGTGGAACCTGAGTAAACACTTCTTCTGCTCGTTTGTGACCAGTTGTCTTGCAATTTGAGAGTTTGACTATGTGCACTAAAAAAATTCACCAGCACTTAGTCATATTGAGGTCTCGGCATTCCCCAGGCCAGGCCGGGCTTACAGAAGCCCGACCAGAAAATGCGAAGCCTTGCCTGGCCTGAAACCTGAGAAAACTTTCTTTTTCTGCATTTAAAAATGTTAAATAAATCATTTTCGTAATAAAAAATGTATTAATATACATATATTTCCCCAAAATAAGAAAATATGCATTCTGGGCTTTTGGGCTGGGCTTCTGGTGGGGAAAATGAGGCCTGAGCCCAGCCCGGACTCCAGGCTTCTGGGCCGGGCTGCCCATGTTTAGTCATATGTAATGTAGGTTGTCTGGCTGGATGAACCATGCCATTCATGGGCTGGGCCAGGCTGTACTGTGTCCATTTGGGCAACAAAAGTGTAATCAGGTCTAGCCTTGCAGCCGGTGTTTGCCAGGTGTGAGATGCTGTAGCTGTGCATACTAATGGGGAGCAACAGTTATTCAAGAGTGTACCAACTTTGTGCACAATCTTGTCCTGGGGAATGCGAAGTGTGAGATAAAGTGTCCCCAGACAGAGGTTCTATTGGTGTCAACCACATCTTCCACCTAGTATGTCCCTAGTTAGTATACAGTTGATGCTATAAGCATGCGAGTTTTGAACTATGTTTTTCTTTTGGTCTTGCCTTTCAACCTACTATGTGTGGTGAATGTGGCCCGTGTTGTTGTATTGCGTTGTTCCAGATGAGACCCTTCTTTGATGCTTAAGATTATTTGCCAATGAAATCATTTAAGCAACTGCCAGAAAAATTAATGGCTGGACCTAAAGCAAATAAACCGTGCCAAATTAAAGTAGAGGACAGGTGAATCCTTTTGATAAAAAATGAATATAGTGCGACTGCAAGTGAAACCCTTTTTTGCCATCATTAACATACAAGTACATTTCAGTGCACATGAACCGTCGTTAGTATTTGTTGTTGAAGTTTCGGTGCAAAGGCATGCGAGTCGTATAGAAAAAACAATGTGGTTTTTTGTTCCATTTTCAATTGTGAAGACCGTGCTACTCCTATCATGGGCTAATTTTGCGCAAACCTTTTGTGCTTCCAGGTGATGCAGAGATGAGATTTGGGAGCATGATAAGCACATCCAACATTGTGGATTCAGATAAAGTTACTGTGCAGTCCGATGCAGATCTTCTGTGGACATTTTCTCTTCGAAATCTGACCTGAAGAGCATCCACTTAATTGGAATCATATGCCGTGTTTCCTTTTTGTAAAATCTTTGTTGATCTTGTATGCTATCAGCTCGGCTCTTGTACAGTGCAGCTGTGTTTATGCTCATAAGTTGTTATGTATCTGATAAACAAAGGATATCTTGTTGCTCATGGTTGAAACATCTGTTGTCAGATAGATGGAGACCTGCCAGATTATCATAAGGATGTTGTTGTGGAATTGTCACGGCAGATGTCCTTAGTGTCAGGACTTAGTCGTGAGGCCAACGCATCTATGTGGTAGCTTGAGAGGGATTGAGTGGGACGAGAGACGCGAGGTTTTACCCAGGTTTGGCCCCTCATGATGTAGATAAAAGCCTATATCCTGCTTCATTGATATTAATGATGATGATTACAAGGGTGCTTTATCTCGAGAGCTACTGACTTGTCTGTCTAAACCTAACTTGTGAAACTTGTGGAACTTGTCCCTCTTCTCCCTTTTGGGGAGCCCTGCCCCTCCTTATATATGTTGGAGGGGCGGGTTACATGTAAAGTCCTATTAGGATTAGGACTAGTCTATCTCTAATATAAATCGGATATAAGTCCAGGTCTTAACTTCTTGTAAGACAAATATTCCTCATGCCTTTCCTCTTAAACCGGCCCATCATTAAACGTGAACTGGCCTTCTGGGCCTTGGGCCTTGTCATCCGTCTGTCCCGCACGCCGGGTTACTAGTGAGTCATAATGACCAGGCAGGTTGCTCGTAAACCGACAGGTCAGGGCGGGTCGCCAGTAACTCGCCAAGTGTCAGCGGGGTCTTCAGATAAACCGCTAAGTCCGGCCGGGTTAACTTCCAGCCGGTTTACACCGCGGGGTATATCCCCGACATTAGCCCCCAAGTTTAGCTTGGATTTATTCATGGTAAACTTATGCTGCAAAATAAATACAAGAATAAATTTGACAGGTTATGCTCCGGGTTAAGAATTTTTGTAAACCGGTAGCTGATCATCCTTAAGTCCTTGTTATTTCCTCCTTCTGGGAAATCTGGGTCAACAGACCAGCTTCATAATCAATTTGCCGACATTGGTTTGTCACCGAGAAATATTGTGAAGAATAACTCCTTTGACTCAGCTCCCAAATCCGGTTTAAGAAATATGGGTCTGAAAATACTTATCTGATATTCAGTCGGTTTGAAGATGTAAAACTTGTCGGTTTAATATTACCAAAATGGTCGGTTTATAAATATTGATGGCACCGGGTCATAATTGTTGTCGACACCGGGTCATGTAATTGATCTTCCTGATTTGCTCAAAACTGATAAAATGAAGATGTTCCTCCTTTATATGCATAATACCTGTAGCCCCCCAAGTCTTAAGAGGAGAACATAGTGATAACTTAAGACTTGCTCCAATAAGTGTTTCAACCTTGAAGAAATCCGATTAGTTCATCTCAATCATATAAACTGAATACTCCATATATGTAGCCCCCAAGTGCCGGGTTGTCATGCTTGCAGCAACCTGGGACTTGTAATTTCCTGATGCTCATAAAAAACTTCAATCAGTGTAGCCCCCAAGGGCCGGGTCATTATGTAAATAATGAGCAGGGACTTTGAAAATATGATCATGTAGACTTTAACAACAACGTGTAGCCCCCAAGGGCCGGCTCAGTAAGATAATATTGAGCTGTGACTTTATATATACTTCATTGAGAATAACATTATATTATGTAACTCCCATCATGGGGCTTGAACCCATATCCACAAGGTTGAGAGCTTTGTGCTTTACCAACTGAGCAGTGGATCCTTCAATAATAGATGAAAACGTGTGTACCTTGAATTGTTGACAGGAGCAATTGGTAGCCCCCAAGGGCCGGCTCATTATAATATGATGAGTCGGGTCTTCAATAAGGTGAACAAAAAATGTCTTCGCATTAGCCCTCAAGTGTCATGGTGCATGCTTGCAGCGACATGAGACTTGTGTATTTGATGTAATTTCAACTGAAATAATGTAGCCCCCAAGTGCCGGGTCGTAAGCCTGCAGCAACTCGGGACTATTCCTTCAATTGTAGAAAATCATATCTATTGATAATATGATAGCCATTGCGCTAAAGCGACTTTGAAAACCTTAATCATAATACTGGTTATTGATAACCATAATAAAAATCCAGCCATGTTGGCTATTTGAATAATATACCCAATGATTTATAAGCGCATAATTCCAATGGCGCAATCCAAATATATACTGGCGACTTATAGTCCAAAGCCAGGCCGGTTTAACAAACCTGTTTCTGCATACAACAAGTTTAAAGTATCCTGACAGTTTACCGCCGGACGGGTTATAACGCCCAACATATAACCCGGGTTTATAACCAAGGCTGCACTTTAAGAATAATCAAATATGAAATAGATCATACCTGTGACATTGAATCACATTGTTGGTTTTACCAACTTTTTGTAATAAAGGTGATAACCCCAATCTTGAGTACTGATAACTCCTTCCATATTGTGCCGATTTATGATAAAACCGTACCGGGTTTGTGATAAACACCGGATTAACCATATATAATACTGGTGACTTGTAGTCAAACCAGACCGGGCTGATAGACTCCGGATTATAACTTGATCGTGTACTGACAACTTGTAGTTGAAAGCCGAGTCGGGTTGATAAATACCGGTTTACTCCATAATAGGATGGTAACAGAAAATCAAACCGGGCAGATATTCTCCGGATTAAGATTTGACCGTGTTTCGTCAATTTGTAATTGATAGCTTGAACTGGTTTAAAACTTTGTCGGTTTAAAAACGCAACAAAAATAAAGAAACATTTGTCAAGAAAAATTGTGAAACAAAGGCAATGACAAAACCGTTTGCAAAATGAGGCTTATTTGAGCTGATCAGATGGCGTTATCATGGTCGGACACGACCAAGCTCCCGATAGGTGTAGCTATGGTTCAAGTCAGCCAGGTCCTCAAATGAAACCATGGCATTTATGCCGATCAAGTGGCATGGCAATGGTTCGGGTTCGACCAAGCCCCCAAGTGATTCTGTGGCCTTAGGCCGATCAAGAGGCATGACTGGTTCAGACGTGACCAAGTCCCCAAGTGATGTGGTGGCTCTCGCCTATCAAGAGGTATTGCATTGGTTCGGACACGACCAAGCCCCCAAGTGATATAACATGATGCTTTTGAAAAGCTAACTCAAGGGGTAAACCGGAGGCCGCTTTAGAACAACTCTGTGTAACCACACATGATGTAAAAGAACAAATACCGCGCTTTAGCTGAGGTTCCCATGTGATCAACAATATGTCATGGCCAGTAAGGCAGAATACACATGTTTGAACCGCACATCGTGGCAGCAGGTCCTCTTTGGCAATTTTTAACTTTTTGCAAGAGATAAATTCTTCTTGAACCGGGATCTTGAACCGGATATTGAGAGCTTCAAAGCTTTGTGGGAGACATCTTTCCCTTGAACCGGATTTTAAACCGGAATCTTCATTTTCAGCCGGAAAATTTTCTGACGGCCTTTAAACTCGAACTTGCGAGAGGTTAATTCCTTTTTGAACCGGACACTGTAAACCGGATATTTGAGAGCTGCAGTCAGACTGACTTCCCTTGAGCCGGATTTTAAACCGGAATTCTTTCTGATGACCCGGATCTTCTTCATTGAACCGGGATTTTGTAACTGTCATATACTTTCTAAACCGGAAATTTTCTGATGGCCTTTAAACTTTCATCAATATAACAGTAGCCTCCGGGACCGGGTTATGCTTTCCTCCATCGTCCTGGGGTTCTTAAATTTGCTGAAACTGGCAAGATTCGCTGAGTCATGTCATCGTAGCCCCCGAGTCTCAAATGTGACTCGAGGATTTGGCTTGAGACTCTCCATATTTGACCATGATATAAATCGGCATAACTTGTATATCATTGGCGTTGATAGCACGACGTTAATCCATAGAAGGTTGAGGTGACTGCGGCGGGTTGCAAATGATCCCATATGAGACGTGTCAGCAACTCGGCCAATGGTTTCTTCCAACCGGCGATTTGAAATTAATCAAAACTGTAGTAGCGGCGAGTTGTGCGCCTGCCCATTGAACCACCCAGTGCAAATGGCAGTTTGATGATAATTTGTCTCCAATTTGAAAGAAAACCGGGCTACCCAAGCTGTGACTTGCTCATACCCAATAAACAGCTCATGCAGACAGGTGCAGCCCGGTATGTTGATGTAGACCAGGCCGCGAGAGACGGACGACAAAAGCGACCGCAACATCAGAGGCAGCTCGGAGAGATGAATCGGCCGCGACATTGTAAACCGGTGCGGACGGGGAAGATCGGCACCGGTGTCGTAAACCGGCACGGACGGGCGAGTTAATTGCAGGTGTGGTCCCGGCAAGCTGATGTAAACCCACGGTATAGACCACTTTTACAATGAATAATTATCCTGCATATCAAAAAATACAGCCCAAAGTAATTGTTCTTTTGACAAAAAACAATCCGTTTCATAAATGGACTTAGATAGATGTCACCTGATACGTTAGGCCGGAATTTATCCGCCGCTGTGAAGCTAAAATCAACCACGGATAAGTCACCGCAGGAGCAAACGGATGAACCGGACGCGGCGTTTGTAAGCCGGTGCGAACGGGCGAGTTGGCCATGGCGTGGTAAGCCGGTGCTGACGGACGAGTTGGCCCCGACGCTGATGAAGCGGGGGATGGCGACTTGCCCATGTAGCCGTCCAGCAGCATGGCACGGACCAACCCTAGTGCAATAATCTTAGCGCGCCCCTTTGCGACACTTTTGTAACAAATAATGGTTCTGCCAAAAATAGCAAAGACCAGAGTAATTGTTCTTGGAGAAACATTATTTATGCAAATAAAATATGTAGGAAGGATAGCACCTCGTAATATTATGCAGTGCCGGTAGGCTGGCTTGTCGCAGGTACCACGAGGCACACAGTACGCCGCGCTCCCGTCAGTCTCCATGATTTGATTGATTTGACTCTGAATCACTGATCCGCTTTGTAGC